GAAACCACTGCAAGCCCTATCAAGCAGTGTTCACCCCGTCCTGAAATATTACTATACACTGCAGCGTTTGGATAACACTGTAATGTATTATGTTTATGTTTCTGGTATGGAACTAAGTTCACTTAGACACAGGTGTCTGTAACAGACAGACAGGGAGAGAGAGGGGGAGTGTTCATATTTTTTCCTTTTATACACTTCTTTCTTTGGATTTTTTTTCCTATATTGTTTGTTAAATCCCTAAGTCAACATGACTTGGTTCACACATAAACTAAAAATACATGCTTCAGTATGTTTCAGCACCTTCTTAATTCCAGCATCTATTTCTGTCTCTAAGACTCCTCTTTCCTTTATGCTAATTACTATGTATTCAGTAACAAAACATTTAATATTATTCAAAAAAAAGAGTTAAAGAGTCACTGGTTTACAAAGTAATGCACACAAACAGCGTACATCTTTGAGTACTGGATTTCAGGGTAGCTTTCAGATAATGTATCTTTGGGTCATGATTACTCATATTCTAGTATGCTTAATGTAAATTACCTGGCACTGTAAAGTAAGAGTACAAAACCTTCAATACAAACTTAGTGACTAGTAGAATAAGTGCAGTGACACACCTGACCACAAAGCATCCTCCACAGATACAGTAACATTGAGGAATCTGTATTAGGACACTGATCATGTTGACACTTGAATACCTTAAAAAAATTTAAAAAGCCTGCTGCTAGTTACTGCAACTTGAGAATGAAACAGAATTTAGAAGCTAAAGGATACTTAAAATTCACCATCAGCACATTCTACACAAAGTCATAAATGGTACAATATGGCAGGAAAAATTGTATCCTAACAGTGTCTGGGCCATGCAGTCCGTGCACCAAAGCAGCACATTGTGTATTCAGGGAATATCTAATTTGCTCAGTGGTTTATCTATCTTGTTAAAATAAGAGTGCTAGGCTTCAAAGTATGGCCTTCAGCTGGTGGCCAGAGTAGCCTTCAATTGGTAACTGGCAAAGATCATGCAACAAAAGCTAAATCATCCTCAGAAGAGACAGAAATGTTGAGAAATAACAACAAAAATGGAACTGCATCAGTGAAGTGCAGTCCTAGAAATTTATCCTACAATTTTCAGTCTGGATCTTCTAACACCAAGTTCCATTAATAAATACAAAAGCTGAACAGAGAAGATCATCTGCATCCACAACAAGGGAAGACAAAAATATGTGGTTTTCAAACACTGAAATAGTAACGATAACATAATGTTTCAAAATATTAAATCACAACTTAAAAACACATGAAGAAGCAAAGGAATTTTAAAATGTAATTTTGTTTCTGCAAACATACATATTTATATATGTGTACACTTACACAGAGACGGATATAGACAGACAGGTGGAGCATTTTCTTTTGGCTAGATTTTAATCTGCCTATCAGTCCTGATGCCTAGGCGTCTCTATGGAAATCATCTGCCTCTTTCTAACTCTTTCCCCATTTTTGTTACTTGAGTATTGCTCCACTATTTAATCTATGAAACTCAATTAAATAGACATTAAGGACAGGGAAAGTATAAAATTTCGCTTTGCTCTTCATTTTTGACACAATGATGCAATGCTGCTTCTTGCTTAAGGAACTGCTCCTGGATTCCTTCTCTAAAAATTTCTTTCACTTGGGGTAGCAGTCTTTTATTGTCATGAGAGTTTTGATCAAACAGAAGTTGCAAGATCAGATATTTGCTTAGTTAAAGGAAGGTTAAAATTCCTTGGAGGGCTGCCATGCCTCTCCCAACCCACTGAACTGCAGACTCATGTGGTCTTATCAAGCCACAAAAGCTGTGGCACTGGCACAGTTCTCCCCTGGACCCCTTGGGACAGCAATAGCACAAAACATTATGTATTTATGAACATATAGGGTTTGGGGGATGAATACAGGGCAGAGGAAGCTAATGAGGTCGCAGTCAACATGGAAAAACATGCATTTCTACACAGGGACAACACATCAGGCTCTGCTACTTATACCACCAAAGAGTGTTTTTTTTCATCTTGGCCATAGTTTGGAAGGAAAGAGAAAGATAGTAAGAGCGTAGTACATCTACATTAAGTGCCCAACTGAATGAGATTCTACACAGAGGTAAAGCAGGCTCTAAATATTCATCACATGTCTACATTCTGCTAAGAAATCCCTAGACCACTGCAGAGCTATTGAAGATCAAGACTTTGGCCATAAGAATGTACTTATCTGCATTTTACATGACTGTTGCACAATGCATAGCATAGGTTAGCTCTAAAAGACAGATTCAAAAATCTTTAGACTTAATGAGTATTAGAAGCTTAAACACTCCACTGATCCAGACACTTATTAAAAAAGTTTACTCAGATTACAGATGCCTCAAGAGATCACAGGCTGTAGAAAAATATCTCTTAAATATGGGTTGTCTATATTGTCTAGAATTTTGTGTAGATCTTTGATAAATAGTGAAGGCAAAACACAACAGACTTCAAAACAAATTCTAATGAATGTCATGCATACACTTAAAGTGTCCCTTTTACGGAAGTGAAAGTCTATCAGACAGCAAAAGGAAAACAGACTGAATTATAAAAATAAATCAGTTTCACATGTGTCCTCTGAAGCTTTCAGACAAACATACTCCCTTGATGTGGTGCTTCAGCATCATTCTTAGGAAAAATGCTCTCTATATCATGCCATATTGTATCCAAACTAAATAGTTAAAGGGCATCATTTGCCAGAGTAAATTAACGTATCTGGCAAATGAGTAATCCAATGGGGAATCACAGATATGTGTTCTCACAGCAAGTGATCAAATGAAGGGCTAAGGACAGCCCTTGAAATGGAAGCAATTTTTGGGTTAGCAGTTAACAATCTCAAACAATACTGACTCCAGGGAAACTGCCTTCCTAATGAAATCAACAGCTCACATAAAAAGAGTTTATGGGGTCAAATCTGTAATTATTTTTTTGCTGAGAATGTTGTTTCCCAGATTAAAACCTTTTTTTTTTTGAAACCTTAATCAAATTATTTGCATATATGTATGGTTTTATTTATTTTCACAAACATTTGATTTTTGTAGTCATGTTAGATGCTCTTATGATCCAGATTCCTGGAGTCCAAGCCCAGTGAAAGCAATTGCTCTTTTAAGAAAGTCATAGTGTCCTTAGACTACAATTTAAATTACTAAGTAGTTTAAAAAAAAACAACAAACCATATAATAGTTTTTAAAGTTCTATGTCTTAATGGCATTTACATTATTACCCTTTGATGGCATGCTTCATTATTATCTTTTTTGTTTTAACAGAAGTCAGGAGGTTAGAGAAATAACCGTTCAGTTAATGTACATTATAACTGTTAGGATCCTGCTCTCTAATGAAGTAATTTGCCTTTTCAATATGGTGCTATCCTTACCTTGGACTCAAAGCCAGTATGACTGACTTCTATTAGCGCCATGGCAAGAGCATCACCACTAGGACAGCTCTAGCAGGTGCGGGGAGACCTCTAAACGAGTGATATGAAATAGTTCTGTGGCTGATACACACTTTAAGTGTGGCACATGGCAACGTTGTCTCCCAGGCTCTGGGCTGAGCAAGCAGAAGATAGCTGTGGTATATAGCAGCAGGTTGCCCAGGGGTTGCAGAGACAAGAAGAGGGCATGGGACACGGAGCAGGGCTACCCTGCAAAGCCTGCCACGTGCTGGTTCTTTATAACTGGAAAACTGAAGCTGTAAGCATTTCTCGTTTTCAGTTCCAGTGTATGCAATGCCTACTGGCTACAGGATGAAGGACTCACATTGATTACTGCAAAAGGAAGCCTCTACCATTTGCTATATCCTCCTTACAGGTAGCTGTCTGTCCATCCATTTTGCTTCCACAATAAGTTTCTTCTGAAGAGCATAGGATGGAGAGAAGCAAAAGAGAATGACTGCAGTTGAAGGCAGACAAAACTGAAGACACCACTTACACTAGACATGGAAACGGGAAAGTTTCCCCCACCCCATCACTCTTCTGCTCTTTCATGCATTTCTGTACATACAGCCCTGGCCTGAGACATGGACTTCCCCGCCACAGCCCCAGGTAATGATAACCCTAAGCTTGTTAGACCATTGTGCTGGAATGAATACCCTTTGCAACCGATCTGCCTCATCTGCTTGTGGCACCTTTACCCATAGTATCTAAGTATCATCATTTTTTCCTGCTTGGCTTCCCAGTACTGGAAGTCAATATTCCCTACCCAAGCATGATGACATACGTGTAAATTACAAGATCCTTAATAATAATCTACTGTGCTTACACCAAATGCCCATTGCATACAACACACATAGTGACAGAAAATCTAAGTGATTTAAGAAAAGGCCACAGACTCAACTTCCTCATAAGTGCTATTACTTCAGTGGTGGTACCAAATAGATAGGTCAGATCTCAATAGGTTTACCAGAAACTAGATGAGACTCATTGCTTAACTTCTGAAAAAAACAGCTATGTGTGCTACACACACTCACACACCTGTGCCCACCATCTCTTGCTCTCCCCCTTTCCGGAAGAGGACACATAAGACTAAAGAAAACATGGAGAAAGGAGGACAAAAGAGTCAATTTCAAATTTTTCTATCTATGAATTTGAAAAATAATAAAAAACGCTGCACTGAAAATAGTTTTATTTGCAAATGCCAGGTTAGTTGTTATTTTTCTTAACCTCAAGAGTAGCTCCAGGAAATTATACTGGGCCAGTGAAAATGTTCAACACAAACAAAAAAAAAAGATCTGATACAATGTCCCCTTTGTAACCTCATTTTTTTAAAATAAGAAATATATTTTTTAAATTACAACAATTTCAAATAGAATCTAAACATGTTTCTGCAATAATCACAATCATATCCAACAGCATAAGGATACACTGTAAGAAATAAAGAAGCTTATTTGAATGAGATTAGAATTAGTTCATATTATTAACCCATAGCATCATTCAGATAACATTTGCTGTCAATAATCAGAACTTACCATATTGATTGGGTCAACTGGGCCAATGCTGTTAACATAGACATCTGTTTCAATTACCGTAGTTCTCACTAAACAAAACAGTAACCACAATGATTATATATTAAATTAACTCTGTACATTGTTAGTGTAATTTAACCTATTTACTAAAGTAAGAACAAATCTGATATTCTTTTATTAGATTCAGAATAATTAAATCTCTGGTTTGTTCATTCTGTGAAGGATCATATATGATTTGGCTCTCTTGTTTCACACAAATTGTTAGACTTATCAACATGAATTTTTTATTTCATAATGCAGACTGCGCCTGTGCTTTCTGAACAGATATAACATAGATATAAAAAGTAAAGGAAGGGGAAAAAAACCCAAACCAAAAACTGTCTTCCAACATAAAAATTTAATCAGAAACAGGAAAAAAAAAAATCAGAAAAAATTGCTTGTACAACAAACCATGAGGACTGGAAGCAGATGTATTTATCAGCTGGAAGGAATCAATATGTAGTGCTTTCTGTCAATTCCTACCGAAAACGTGTAACAAAATTAAAATAACTTTTCACCACGGATTTCTTCAATTCAATCAACTATAGCATACCTAAGGATTACTAACGTGTAATTGTTAGCTGTTTGTCCTTTCATCAGCTTGATTAATACACAGCTTCAAATACCAAATTGAAAGCTCCTCAAGTGAAAGTCATTTTGAAGTTGAACAACCCCATATCAATGTGATCTCCAAATTTATTTTTCCTTAAAATGCATAGTGAAACCACTCTCACTGAGCAGACAAAAATTAACTGTTTTAAATATATATTCTCTTACAGAATATACTCTCTTACTTTGTACACTTATAGACAGGCACAGTGTCTAAGTGACTTCCCACAGAAGTCACATCTGAAGTACAGGTACCTCTGTCAATTCTGTTTTTTCTTTCTAACTGGATATAGGGGAAAAAGGTACAAGTGGAAAAGGTCAGGATGCATTTTAACTTCATTAATTTACTAAGCATTTTCTTCTAGCTTGTACTGGAAAGCCAGAATGCGGACACAAGAGGACATATGTCCTAATCCCCACTGGAACGAAGAGGGTTAATAATAAAGCTCTGCTGGATCTTTCTCTCACAATCAGGTACGTTAAAATGAAGCATTTCTGTCCATCTGCAGATGGAAAAGGGGGAAGGTACAAACAAAAAGGCACTTTGATTCATAGGAGAGGGACCCTAGGTCATCAGATTTGATTTCTTTATACTGCAGACCATCAGAGATCGCTTAAGTGTTCTTTAGCAAACCTAAAATCTTAACTAAGAGGATTTTTCAAATCTCAAATATCTAAAACTTGAACAGACATACAAAAAGAAACAGGATATCATTAGCATCATTGCCAGCCACAATGGCAGGCAAGATCCATTTTCTAAATATCCTACGATACCTTTTCCCTGCCAATCTCACTTGGGAGGGTTCCAAATCCGATTACTGGTGTGACCCTGAGCCTGACAGCAAGACACACCACTGAGGCTGCACAAAGGATTTTCTGTACGACCACAGAGCACAGAGTCACTTGATCACCAGCTTGTCCCCAGCATGTTTCACAGAAAGTTTAAACAGACTCTGGAAACCAATTTCTTTCCTGGGAAAAAAAAATAAAAAATAAGTACTTCCTGAGCTGCAGGTGTTTTCAGTGTCTGCTGGGCTCATAAAGGAAGAGGGGCAACACAAGAACTAATATCCACAGATTGAAAAATCAGGGAGAAGGAAAAAAAAAACAAACAACTATAATCCATGTGCGCAGACAAATATGTATAATATCTTTTACATATGCCACACCTCACAAATAGGTATCTTCTTCCTTTAATTCTGCAACCCTGTTTATCTATCTAACAGCAACCCCACTGCTAGACAAGGAGGTGGATCAAAGTGTATCTTGCCTCATTCCTCAAGCAATGCTGAGCCCACTATTTTTTCCCCGTATTAGTAGAAAAGGTTTAATTCTTCTCTGTGTTAGGAAATCTTGTTTTATTCTGAGGTTCAAGTCTTTGACTCCAACTTTCAGCCCTCCCCAGCCATTTTTCGCACCTCTTCTTCAGACACAGGTACCTACACACGGTGGCTAAGGTCACCTCTGAAACTTGCCTACAGTGTGCTGGACAGTTCATGCCTCATACTGCAAATGCAACCTACAGATCATCTGTTCGGCTTCAATTTCTAAAGCTGCTCCATTGTTTCCAGATCCATCTTGAAATGCGGACACCAGGACTGGAAATTTTTGTAACAGTGTTATCAGCGCTGCTTGAACATTTCTAGATTTCTACTCACTGTGTTCCTTTTCAAAAGGGGACTTGTCTCAGGACAACGCTCAGAGATACATATCTAAGATTTTATACTACACAAAATATCTAAGTTTTTCCCTAAATCACTGCTTTACTATCCAGAATCTCTCACCTTGCAATATGACCCCCAGGCTTCCTTCCCTCCACCTCCTGTGTCCTTTTTGTGTCTCCAGTTTTACTGAAGGAGCAAATTATTACGCTGCAGATACAATCTCTCCCTTTCCAGCAGTCTTTGTGTCATCTGCCAACTTTATTACAAAATTAATTGCTGAAATCTTTCAAAACATCATTATTTTTTATCAAGACTTTCCTATGAGACCTACTATAGACACCCCAACCACTGATATTTCCTTATTAACAACTAAATTTTGAGATCTGTCAGTAAGCCAGTTTTTAATGGAGGCTCTGTCAATTTTATGAAACTCCAGCTTGCAGCGAGCAGTACTTGATCTGCCACAAGGGCTCTCCTGTAATGTGCCACAGAGTTCAATTTGCCTTTTCCATACTGCTCTGAGTAAGATTATTAGAGCTATTAAGAGCCAGCAAAGAATCTGAAAATCTGCCTCAGTTGAAATTATTTTAATTGACCCAAATGATCCAGAGAAAAAGATCCAATTCAAGAAGACTGGAAGAGGCTGTTTTGTTATCTAAGACCTTCTGTATGGTACAGAGCAAAGCACTTCTCTGAATGAGAAGAAAGAATTCATTCTTCTCGTATTCTTGAACTAGAAGTGATATGAGTCTATATAAATGACAAATGCTGGAGTAAAATACAGTTTTGATACTCATTTTACATCCATGTAATCACTATTGTTCATTTACTCCTCACAAAGAGCTAACTGAGAAGGTTGTTTTGAGATGTTTCTACAGTGAATATTTCTTATTTTACTCAAAAAATTTGGTATCAGCCTTGAAAACACTGGGAGCAGGAAGAAATCCATTTAAGACATCCTGCGTGAAGTGCAAAACAGTACTGTAAACTTACAGAAGCTTCTAAGGAAGAGGAGAAAGACAGCACACTTCAAATACTTACCCTGAAAGACAATACAAGCCAGGCTAGAGTAAGAAGGTTACAATACAACAGATTGCACCCTCAGTAGAGAAAGAGAACAGCACCAAGGGGCAACTGCCCCCAAGAGATAGTTCATCAGTTCTTAACATGGCTGAAGCACACAGGGAACCTGTGCCAAGCCCAATCTATGGAGATCTACTCACACTTTCTGATTTCCTGCTTTGACACCTTTTCTTTACTAGACCAAACTTCTGGTTTAAAAGGTTTGACTTGTATTGAGCATCACCTCACACAAGCACATAGCTAAGGACAGGCTTGTCCCAGGAAATAAATATAGTAAATAATAAATATGTGCCTGGAATTCAAGAGCAAGAATGAACTTCCTGACAAGCAAAAAGACCTGGAAAGTAGCCTCTCTCAGCAGGCATGAATCGCTGCTTTCCGAAAAACACCCAGGCATATTCTGAACCCGTTTGAGTTCAAAATTTGCATTTTGAAAAATGTTTACTCTTGATTTGAAAAATTGTAGTGATAAAAATCTACCTCAATCGTTGACAAATTATTTTAGTAATTACACTTGCTATCAAAAGTGCCTCTTTTTTAGCCCGTATTTATCCAGACCTAATTTGTAGCTTTTCATACTTGAAATATCTCTGTCTGCTACATTGAAGAGCTCTCCTTATCAGTTATTCTCAGCTTATAAACCCTCATCTCCTGACAGAAATTATTATCATTATTGTAAAAGTGCAGAACATTGCACTTTTTATTGTTTAGTATTGCTCCGTTTTCATTACTCCAATCCTGAATATTACCCAAGAGGGTGTTAGTGCATCTAAATTCACTAACCAGTTCCCATAGTTTAACACAATTCCCCATTTTGGAATGGTGGTCTAAGATATATTGCCTTTTTTTATTGTTATTACTTATGCTATTTAATCTAAAACCGCTTTGATAACTTAATCCAGGCTTATTTTCTTTGAGCATGTTTTCTATAACTCCTCATTAATGCCTAAAGAAGCATCTCTTCTTGGTGATAAAGCAGTTATTTGGCAAACAAATTAGGTGACTACTACATTCAGGCATAACAGAGGCCTTCAATTTGTAATAGTTTTTAATGGAATAATACAATTCTCACAACCAGTTATCTAAGAATATTACTTATATGGCTATCTATGTTGAAAATTTGGCATCAAGTGTCTACAGCAGACTTTCAACTCCATCTCTGAAGAATTTTTTCAAAGTGATTCTGGTGAAAAGAGAGCCCTGTTTTCCACACTTTCACCTTTTCATGTAAAAGAAGCCCATCTTTAGTAAATAACCCTACCCCACATCTTTTATTATTTCCATCATTTTATATGCAGTGCACACATCCAGTATCTTTAACATTCACTGCATATGCTCTTCTACATCCTGCTCTTATATTTCCTTCAATACTTGCAAAATATTCTTCATCTCAGAATACATACCTCTCTACATTTACCTGATATTTTACTGCTTATTCGGGCTATTACTTTCCTGCCTCCATCATCCTTTCATCAATGTTACATTAAGAGCACCTGTTCAACAGCATACCCCCTAATATCTTTATCTTTTCAGAATTAGTGCTTCTGTTACTCTCTTGAAAGTCCACTTTTTGTTCGTGCATTCTTTATATCCCTGAGTCTGTGATGCTTTCACATTAGTGCACTGAGTTGCAACTACTTACCCATGCCCTGCTGATAGAGCAATTACAACTAGCCAAATTTCTCTAGGTATTCAATTTCTCTATGTCTATGAGCAACCATCCTCACTCTTCTTAAAATTTCTATCAATGACTTTCCTCAAACTGTCAACTGAAAACACTCCATTAGAGTTGTAGATATGTGATGAATATTCCCTATTTTTAATTAAACTTTCAGATTGATCAGTTTTGTTTCATCCACATAATACCCAATATTGGACATGAGACACATCTGGAAAAAAATGTGCTGTAAATTGATAGACTAATATTAATATGTAGATGTCCCTAAGGTGTGAGAGGTGGAACAGTGTGCAGCCTGAATTCTGTCTTTTAAAAAGGAATGTTGAAAAATGGAGCTAGTTTGATTCAGGACTGATGCTAAAACAGTGTGGTGATAAAATCGGGTAACTAAAAGGTAATGTTACAGTGAGAATAATACTGCTTTATTAATATATCAACACTGCAAGGTTGTATCCGTAAAAGGATTTTATACAGATAAGATCTACAGATAAGAGACTTCATCTGGTAAGTACTATTACTTCATACTGAGCAGAAGGCACTTTAATACTTTATGCTCCTTTATGCTCCAAACACCTCAAAATATGTTACATAAATTGAGTTAAGGACTAGTAAGATTAATAAACATAGCAAAGGGTAACAATTAAGAAGTTACTACAACTTGGGGATATTTGAATGAGACAAATAGAAAACAACAGTGTGGAATTCTCCTATTAAATGTCAGTATTGCCTCTGAGGTTACAATTTTCATTTGGCTCTCCTCTACGATCTCCCTCAACTAACTGTATGTTCAACAATGAACCCCCTTATCTCACTCTGGGAAGCTGAAATTATGTGTCAACATCAGGAAGAAAACAAAATTCTGCTCTGGTATTCAAACCCAAAAAGTCCAGGTTCAAAACAAAAAATATTGCTATTGTAACTGAGCTTTGCAATTCAATAGTAAAAATGTTCTGTGCGATATTATTGCTCTGAAAAATAATTAGGATTCCAGTTAAATAACCTTGTTGTACAAGTACTGACATAGACTCTGAAGATGTGGAATCTAACACCAGATTTTATCCACATAATTGAAGCAGACTAAAATGAATGCAAATAGTCTGATTTTGTTTTTCATATCTGCTGCAGTTCCCAAGTAGGTGGACAGAGTGCAGTGCCTTCACTCAAAGCTGGAAATTTCATCTTATGTTGTTCAAAATTTCTGCCTTGTGGCAGAAGTCTGCAACTTCCCCACCATCCCGAAGAGAGTCAGTCGTAACATTTGCTCTCCTGGCATCAAAGTGAATACTCCCAAATGTCTCCTCTTCTTATCACTCTGGATGATTATTCGTGAACCTTATGTTTTATAATATTGGATGTAGGCAGGTCCCAGATAACAAAGGTCAGATTGGTACAGAAGTATTGCAACAAGAGAGTGAAGAAGAAGAAGAAGAAAGGGAGCATTTGTGCAAGAGAAGCTAGAACCAAGTGTCTTCATTCAGGAACCAATATTTGGAATCCAAAAGGCTGTATGCCGAGTTACTCAAAAAAAGACACATTTCTTGCCCTGTCAAAACTCAGTACATAAACAGAAATGTGAAGGTAAGGATTACACCAAAATTCTTCCGTGTCCATCTAAATCCGTTTGACATGTCAGAATAAACTCCTATTCCTCTCTGTTTTCTCTCCATTTATTTCTAAGTTTTAGGGGGAGAGAAGAGAAACAGAATTCTCTCTTCTTTCATCCCCACCTACCAGCTAAACGTTAGAAGAAATCCTAGTGGAGACAGTTTATTCCCTCATAATCCCTTTGCGGTCTGTTGAATCAAGCAGTCAGGGGAAAAAAAATAGTGGTGCTATACATCTGTCACACAGGGAGAATATAAGGAAAAACATGCTGGAAGACCTTTCTTGTTGTCTAAATGTTTGCAGTAATTCAATTAAATGAATGTGAAGGCAAAGACTTACAAGAAACTTCATGAAATTCACATGTGTTTATATTAAGACAGTGAGAGAAAAATTGCCATTCAACTTCTTCAGGATAACAGTCAACAATAAAACAGAACTAAGAAATCTGGGGAAGAAAATTTGTCAGAAGCTTTCAAAAGAAAATACTTAGTTTGAGACTGCATCTTTCTGTTCTCCTACACATATAAAACAAATCTAGATTGTTGTATTGTTTATTGTATAAGCAGCTTATGTCTTACATGGCATTCTTTTGATGGGGAACGCCAAGTATTTAACAAATAATTATGTCCTCCACCTCTCACTTCACAGTTCAGGGAACAAACTCAGAGAAAATAAATTATTTTTCTTAGTTTCATCCAGCATACATATGGTAGATAAGAACTGGCAAGGGTTCATGTACTCCATGTTTTCAACACAAGATTCTTCCAAATATTTACACTTAATAGCTATATGCAAATTGATGCTTTGGCTATTGAAAGACAAAATTGCCTTCCTACTGGCTGCACAGTTTCATCTACAGCAATGCACTCTTCCCTCCTTTAGAAAAGATATAGCCCAAGTTTTATTTTTAGATTGTTTTTAAAAATCTGACCTAAGGGAAGAAGAGAACTGTGTTGAGTTAAATTTGCTCAAAATACACACTTACAATGCATTTTCTAAAGTAAAAGTATCCAGGAATAATTCTTTAATAAACTCCTACAAACTCAAGATCAAATTCTTAAATAGCCATGGCTGGTTTATATCTGTCAGAAGATCATAGTTAAACTATGCAAACTGTAATTGCCTTTTAAAAATTTATTATAGATTGCCCACTGTCCCCAGAATGCAATAATTTACATAAGAAAAAGAGACTGTTAATAGAACATAAAGTCTACTCTTGCATAGGACATTATTTTTTACCAATTCCAGAAAACCATTGCATTCTATTGCTATATTTAGCTTGCTATATTAAGTTTTAAAAATTGCATTAAGAGGATTTTTGCCATCATTAACAAAATGCAAGCCCTCTCTGGTTCACATCTTCTATTTACTGAATTATTTCTTGGGCTTACCCCCAATATCTGGCCGAAGCTTATTGTCGTATCCTTGAAGTAAGGAGTCCAGTATGTGAGTTACATCCCCACCATGAATCTTTGGTGCAAGGACCCATGTTTTATTCACAGTTAGATCTTCATCATCCTCATCATCTGTTTTGTCTGCTCTATGGTGAGTGAATGAAAAAAGCAAGGTTAGGAAAAAAAAACAACAAACAGTGAAACTAAATACACAAGAGGTCAAGAAGAATGCTAAGATTTTGAACACTAGAGTATTTTATAAAAATCTAAATGCTTTCTGGTGCCAACAGAAACAGGCAGGCCCTTATTTAAAACACCAATACTTTGGTTTATGGCAGTAGAGAGTGTAAGCTAATAAACATGTCAAGAGAGGCATTAGCACATCATCCATACAGCACAACTCAAGCCATGAGTCAAAACCATGAAAGCAGCAGTAGGCTCTTACTGTCAGGCTTTTCCTGTTTTAAGACACAAAATTTAATTCCCAAACTTTTCCCTGCATGTATTTCATTTTCAAATCATGGTACTAATATGCCTAAGAGATGCTTAATCATGATTGTAGATACATCTTCATGTCAAGAACATTAACAGAATCTCCTTCCCAGTAGCCTCCATTCTAGCTACGATATAAATACACAAGACTTGTGTACTTATTCAGCTCCATTCAAAATTTAAGAAAAAAACAAACATTACATCCATGTGCCATGACTAAACATTCACAGAGACTGCAGTCATTATCAATTATGTGACTCCATGTATACATCGCATAGTTAAAATGCTGTACCATTCCCCTCAGTTAAGATCATTTGCTAGCTACCTATTTTACTAAGATGAAACAAATATAAAAGAAAAACAATTCCACATTCATTTATTGCTTATCTTTAATTAAATAAGCAGCAACATATAGTTAATTGCTAAGTCATTACAAAAAAATCACAATACCTTGGTTGCATCTGCAGATTCACTCAGATATCACCAAAAGGTCAAAGAATGCCTGGAAGTAGTTCTCTTTCCATTTGAATCAAATGAGTGTGGACTTAAGTATTCCTCCAGTGCTAAAGTTTGCAATCTATATTACTCATCCAGTTTATTTCAGGGAACTGCTATGGGCTTCAAGTCAAGCAAAGTGCATCAGACTGATAGCAGTAACTCTGACAGTCACACAATGTTGTCTTCACAAATGGACATTGGCTAGCAATTATTACAGAATGTATGCAATCCATATAAATCAGTTCCAACATTAATATAAGCACAGATATTCCAGGAAAAGAAAGGAATTAAATTACTGTCCTTGTACCAATTTGTATTGTACACCGAACCTAAAACGTTACTGCTATATTACTAGAAAGGGGTTTAAGGGCTTCTAAATTACACAGACATACGCTGCCCTCAAAACTAAGGGTGGAATTTTTCAGTAAATTTCCTACAGGAATGAAGACCACCAGCGTGTTCCATGTGAAGACAACACTACGCCTTCAGGGGGAAAGGACAGAAAAAGTCAGGAAAGGACAGAGCTGGAGTAGGCATACTGAGGTTTTATTTTACTCCTTTCTGGGAATGCACCAAAAGAGTCTGCATTTGTAAGACCTCCCATTACCGCTTAGACAACACTAATGAGTCTCACTGAAAATCAAGACATTATCAAACATTGGAACACACGGTCCAGGGAAGTGGTTGAATCACCATCCATGGAGGTATTTAAAAGACGGGTAGACTTGGTGCTGAGGGACATGGTTCAGTGATGGTTTTAGCCACTGTGAGGTTGATGATTGGATGAGATGATCTGAAATGTCCCTTCCAACCTAAATGATTCCATGATTCTATGGCTGTGGAAACTGCTCGGTGGTTTTGGCATGCCTGCTTAATTTGGGAAGTGCAACAGGGAGCTTGCCACAGCTCAATAGGTTCCCAGGGGATGAACAAAAAGCCGTCAGATATTGGAACTTTCATACTTGGCTTGCTGCAAATGAGTTGCAAGAGTCTATTATAGCTGAAAGGAATACCCAATCTAAATACAAGGTTTACTGACAGCTTCCCCTGTAACAGTCTGAAAAGCACTTTCATTCTTTTAAATTGAAATGCACTGTAAAATACTTAATCTTTACTGCACTACGTAGACATTATAGAAATGTCAGATATTAAATATTTAACATTTCCCATTAGCAGGATCCCACTAATGGGAACACTAAAAGAAGTAGGAAGCTAAGTTTTGTAAATGTACACTCTTTTTCCCTCAAAGCTACCTATTGCCATCTCTTTCATGTTTTGTTAATACGCGGCCCTTTTTTTTTTTTTTTAAATATATTTTTGGTCTGCTTGCACTTTATGTCATCTAATTAGATAAATTAGCTTACGCTTGCTAATAATGCAGAGGCAATCCCAGCCTTTCCCCAGGGGCATTAAGATGATGAGGAGTAAAACTTAATTTATAACCAGCTCTCTAAGGAAAGAGACATGCCCACTCTAAAACTAACCTTTTCTTCTTCCTGTTTTTGTCCTCCATCCTACAAACAGCAGAAAGTACAGCAAAACCACCAGGGCACTGTACAGACCCAGGGTACCTGACTCTTAGGATCAGCCTAATTATTTGCAGATCATTTGAAGTGGCGATGACACAATGTTGTCTCATTTTAATGTTCTTTCCACATTGTTATTAAGAACAGCACAGATTTAGCCAAAAGGAGCTAAGTATAAGAGGTCATGCCAAAGGCCCACACCCATCTAAACCCGAGAGGATTTACAACCATGACCCCTCCACTCATAGTCGCTTGAATATCTTGACATTTTGAAGAGTACCTAATTTTATTTATAGATTCATAGGACAAGTCAGGTGGGAAGGGACTGTGGGAGGTCTCCAGTCCAGCCTCCTGCTTAAAGCAGGGCCAGCTTTGAGGTCAGATCAGGCTGCTCAGGGCTGGACTGGACCAAATCTTGCAAACCACCAAGAATGGAAACTGCACAAGCTCTCTCAGCAACCTGCTCTCCACTTCTCTCTTTTCCTATATAGCATGTTTAAATAAACTTGGAATTAACAAGAAAGAAAATAGATTTTCACTTACTTTCTTGCTTGATTGGAGGACCTCTGGTTTTAAAACTCTGAACTACAAATAGGTATACAGATGAGGATACTGATAGCTTACAGAAAGCTACTAATAATGCAATACCAGGGGGAGAGGGAAAGATTCCATCCCAACATCTGACAGCTTTCCAGTCACTAATAAGTAAATCTGTTTAAAGAGGCACTTATATTAGAAATAACATTTCTTTACTCAGTATCTGACAAGAGTCTTCACTTAAAATGCGCATTTCCTGCTCTTTACATGGAACTACCCTGTTTTACCTAGAAAATATTATACAGGAAAAAAGTGCCAGCTGCTAGAAAAGAAATACATTAGACATCCATATCAGTACACTAGGTTAACAAGAGCTTGAGGCTTGCTAATCCATTAGCTAAACCAGCAAATCTACCAACAAAAACCATGAATTAAGATAACCAAATGTGGAGGAACTGGACTACTGCTGTTCAACACAGCAAAAGGAGCTGTTCTCACTCTTTCTATACCTCTCTTACTGGCCTTTTTAGAGATGAATGGCTGTGATTAACCCATCTTGCTACCAGAATACCATTTTTTTAACTCTTCTTTGAAATGCGCCCAAGGACATTGAGCATGCAATAAAGACTATAATATCTCTGCAGTGCTGATGGCACCCAGTATTACACTTTTGATTCTTAAGCTGTAGCCACTGATGTGCAGCCACAGGACTCAGATAAGGAAGGAATGATGCTGGCTGGAAAAAGGAAGTGACCAGAATATATAGAAAGTCTTCTGTATGTCTTCCAGTGAAGCAGAGAGCACAGCATCTGCCAACCTGAATTTTCAATCCAGAGGTTTCGGGAGAAGTTGCATAGAGCAGCTGGGCTCCCCCCAAAAAAGCACATAAACACACAAAGGCAACAGAACAGACACTGTACATATTCAATTTTGAATTGCTGGTCTTTGTCATACTAAATAGATTTGACCTACTCTGTTTCAAAGGTAGAAATCCCTTCAGAATTACACAGTGGGCAGGACCAGTTGAGATGGTGTTACTGAGATCTAACGAAGGTTGCGAGACCAGGTTGCGATACCATGTTCTTTAAAAGAAACATTCACTTTGGAAAATAAGATGGTTCAAAACTGTTGACCTTTTACCTGAGTTTCTGTGTGTCTCACATGGCAGAGTCCAGGTTTTTCCCCAGGGTTTGGAATGTTAAATTGAGCTGTACCATTCAAATATTTAGCAACGGTTAACTTGGGCTGAGCACCTTTTTACATCTTTGCAGTTAAAATAAATCTAACAAGCCCATGAAGATTAATGTCAATTAACTCCATCCTAACTTTAACAGTAGCACTTTCCCCTCTCTCTCACAACCACAGGAAGAAAGGCAAACTTAATTAAAGAGGAATTCTTTTCCTTTCCAAGTTCATCTAAAGGTTATTTCACTATACAGAGAAGATAATACTTGATCCTCTCTCCATTTACTGTAAAATATATCTTGTTCAACAAAGTTCACTCGGTCTTTTTCAGAATGCCTGTAGAGACAATGATTTAGAACAAAAATATGACATCAGACATTAAAACCTTTCTGTTCCATGACACAATGCTATTTTACATCTATTACTGTGGGTATTAATTTAATTTTAATGATTTTATAAATAAGAAAGAGACCTAACTTCTTAACACGTTATAACATTTCAGCTAGCCTCATAAACTCAACAGTAAACTGCATGTCTACAGTTAACAGTAATTAGACAAAAAGTGCCCTAATTATGCTCTCTGTCCTTCAACTAATTGGAGACATTACCATGACTAATAAATCCCTGAACACAAGTGACTAATGACTAAATAAGTCTTTTCAACATCAGGCAACATGCTCATCTTCAGACATTAATATCATAGGTCTTTGTTCTCCTTTAAATATGAGAAAAAAACAATCAGATGAGCTTTAAGTTGCAATTAACATCTGTCAGGTTAGGTAATGAACTAGAAAAAAATGGATACAGTGAGAGTGCTCCTTGTGCTATTTGCATCACACATATCAAAGTATTGCACATAGAACTACACATATAGCATAGATGGGAATATTTAAAACACAGCTAGGGAT